CCTGAGCCGTCATGGAAGCTTTGGATAAACCCAGGGAGGCGCCATGCCCGCCCAGGGATCCCCTGTAATATGGGCGATGCAGCCGGGTGGGTGTGACTTGGGGGGTGGGGGGCCCCTTAGAAGATTGCAGATACCCTGCCATGTAGCCTTTGGCAGTTTTCTACGCCTCAACCTGTCGCAGGCACTGTGGCGGACTTGGTCCGCATATCCGTTGTAACGCATATGCCAACCCCCGCCTCGTTTTCCACCTCCCTCTGCTAATCCTTTTTGTCCGCTGCCCGTCTCTCCTTCGTTTGCTCCTAATTCCTTCGCCTTCAATTGCGATTACGTCGTCGCCATATCTTCCTTTGCCTTTTTTATCATCTCGTTTACCGTGTCCATCTCGGGAGCGGGCATGCGTACACAAGTATTTGTTATAATCATATTCGTATAATTATATATATATATAGATCTGTATGTGTGTATACACACACAGTCATACATCTGTATGATCATATCTCTATATATATATGTATATATATATATACACATGTCCCAAGTTGCGGTGGTTGCAATTGAAGATTGTTGCTTGAATCCATGCAGAAGTGGTTTGGTCCAGCGAGAATGTTCCACGTTGTCGCATCCTTGCCGCTTCGTTGCCGCCTCGTAAGATGGGTGGGTTTGGGTGTTTCGCCACGTTGCCGACCGTTGCCGCCTCGTTGCCGCGTCGTGCACTGGGTGTGTCTGGCGAACTTCTCTCCGCGTTGCTCACCTTTCGATGTCTGCGAAGGTTCCGGCAGCGGCAACAATCAGTCAGATTTTGCCGCCCCGTGCGTTGGGTCGGTCTGCCGAGGTTTCGCCACGTTGCCGCCCCCTGCCGCCTCGTGGCCAGTTCGTGCGCTGGGTGCAACGGGCGATGCTTTGCCGCGTTGTTGCCTGTGGTCGCCTCGTGGCGTTTTCGTTGCCGCTTCGCGCGCTGGATCAATCTGGCGAGATGTCGCCACGTTGGCGCCTCGTTGCCTCCCCGTTGCCATCTCATGCGTTGGGTGTGTCGGGCGAGGTTTTCCGCGTTGTCGCTTGTGGTCGCCTCGTTGCGGCCTCGTTGCCGGTTCGTGCGCTGGGTCGGTCTGGCGAGGTTTCGCCACGTTGCCGCTTCGTTGCCTCCCCGTCGTCTCATGCGCTGTGTGGGTCCGGCGAGGATTCGCCGAGGCGTGTGCCGAAATGGGCGGGGGTCACCATGCGAAACTTGTCTCTTGGGGCTCCTGGGTGGGCTGGGGGCGCCCTGTGCAGGCCCTGTTTTTGAGGCCGTCGGTGGAGCGCCCTGTGGGGCAGGAGGATGCGAACCTTGGCGCCTGGGCCGTGCATGGACAGAGCTCCCTGCGGGGAGCGATCCGTGTCAGAGGGGCACCAGAGTGGGCGACGCTGTGCGAGGGCTCCCTCTGGTGCCGTGAGTGCAGGTACCTGCGAAACACGATCCGCGCGAGGGGTATGCACCTGTGCGAATCTTGTTTCTGAGGCCGTAGGTGGAGCTCTTTGTTGGGAACGATCCCTTGAGGTGTGTGCCGAGATGGGCGGGTGGAAGCTATGTATGCGAGCCCTGCCTCTTTGGCTTCAGGCGGGGCACCTTGAGGGGCACGATCCGTGTGACGGCTGTGTTGGACTTGGTGGGGGACGCTATTGATGTGTGCATCCCCACTGTTGCGCAGGTGTGCCCATGTCGCGATCGTGGTGGAGTGGTGTGCGTGCCCAAGTGCTAATATACACAACGTTGGTGAGAAGCGCGGGCGTTTTGTATGTATGTATGTATGTATGTAGGTAGGTAGGTTAGTAGGTAGGTAGGTAGTTATGTATGTATGTATGTATGTATGTATGTATGTATGTATTTATATATCTGTGTATGTAGGAATGCATCTACGTAATGTAATGTAATGTAATGTAATGTAATGTAATGTATTGTATTGTAATGTATTGTAATGTAATTAAATGTAATGTAGCGCATTGTAATGTAATGTAATGCAGTGCAATGTAATGTACTGTAATGGAATGTAGTGTATGTATGTATTTATAGATGCATGTTTTATGTATGTATGGACATACGTACGTACGTACCTACTTATGTATGTGTGCATGTCTGTATGTATGTGTGTATGTATGTATGTATGAGTATTTATACATATATATATATATATATGTATAGCACTGGGGTGTCACCGCCCACGGTTCCGCGAGAGCCGCGAAGGCGCTCAAGACGTCTTTCCTGTCGCTCAAGTTCAGCCCAGATGTGCTGACGGCCTCGCTGGAGTACTCGCAGGCGGCGACGAAGTTCCGCCAGGTGGGAGACCGCGCCTCTTCTCGAACAAGAGAAGTTGCATAATAATAGACGTTCGGAGTGTCTCGAATATCGTTTGGATCGGGGCTGGGTCCCCCTGGCGGCGCCTCCGGCGCCGCCCCAAGAAATCCGCGCGGATCTGCAACAGTTTATGTGCATTTCGTTTATTTCGTATCGTTTCTTTGTTCTTCTATTCCCTTTCTCGTGTTCCTCCTCCGCCTTCTCCGCCTCATCGCGTTCTCTATCCAGTTGCCAGCGGCAAACCCTGCCACCATGCCTGTGCAACAGCGCAGCAGGAAGATGGCTGAATGTAGGAGCAGGTCCGCGCGGTAGGGGGGAGGAGGAGGAGGAGGAGGAGGAGGAGGAGGAGGAGGAGGAGGCGGAGGCGGAGGCGGAGGAGGAGGAGGCGGAGGAGGCAGAGGAGGATGAGGAGGAGTACGACGAGGAGGAGGAGGAGGAGGAGGAGGAGAGAGAGAGTCAGAAAGAGAGAGAGAGAGTGTGAAAACATGAGGATGAGGAGTAGAAGACGTCTTGGGGCCATCTCGGGGCTTCCTGGGGTTTCCTGGGAGATTCCAGAGAGCTTCTTGGAGGCCTCGTGCCTGCCTCTTGGGGGTCTCTTCGGGGCCTCCTCGGTCGTCTTAGGGGACTCGTGGTCCGTCTGACGCCTATGGAGGTCTCCTTTTGGGCCTCTCCAGGCCGCGTTGGTGCCCTCATGGAGCGCTTCCATGTTGTCTTTGGGTCCTCCTTGGGAGTTCTTTGGGCGATCGTTGGTTCCACTTGGGCCGACGTGGGGCCCTCTTAGGGGCCTCTCGGGCTGTCTTGGGGCTGTCTTGGAGGATTCTTGGGGGTTATTGGACCGTCTTGGGTGGTCGGAAACCCGAAAAGGTGAGGAGCTCAACATCCTTCAACAACCCTCAGAACATGAATGGTTTTGTCCCCTCGAGCTCTCCAGGAAGGCCTCTTGGAGCTCTCTCGGGCTTCGTGATCTGTCTTGAGGCCATCTTCGGAGCCTGTTGAGCGGTCTTGTGCCATCTTGGGCCATCTTGCCCTCATCCCGGCTGCCTTGAACGCCGTCCTGGTGGCCATGAGGCTCTCAAGAAGGCCTCACGGCAGATCAGAAAGAGCGCGTTCTGTGGGCGTTTGGAGGGGGGGGGTTGGAACCGGACCGCCCCCCTCTGGATTCAAGGCGGGGGGGATTCGAACCCCCCCCCATCGCCCTCCTCCTCTTTCCCTCTCCTCGGGCCGGCGTTGGCGGCGGCTGGCGGCGGTGGCGGGGAGCGTCGATGAAGACGACGTTTTCCTTTTCTGGGCCGGCGCCTGCGGCCGCTGGCGGTGGCGGCGGCGGGGATCGTCGACGAGGACGACGGCGACGACGATGACGACGACGTCGCACAGCAACCATGCTTTAGCTTTGGGTCAGAGTCCTAGTGGATGCCTCCTGGGTTCTCGTCGGAGGGCTCTCGAGGGCCTCTGAAGGTTATTTGTGAAGCCTCCTGGGCGTCTCTTGGGCGTCTCTTGGGCGTCTCTTGGGGCCTCTCTGAGATGGTGGTGGTGGGCTGTGCTGGTGGTGGTGGTGCTTGTGGCTTGTGGCTTGTAGCGGTAATGGTAGTGGTGGTGGTGGTGGTGGTGGTGGTGGTGGTGTGGTTGGTGGTGGTGGTGGCGGTGGTGGTGGGTTGTGGTGGTGGTGTGGTGGTTTCTGGTGGTGGAAGTGGTGATCTTGTGGTGGTGGTGGTGGGTTGTGGTGGTGGCGGTGATGGCGGTAGTGGTGTGGTGGTGGTTTGTCGTGGTGGTTGTGGTGGTGGTGCTGGTTGTGACGGTGGTGGATTGTGTTGGTGGTGGTGGTTGCGGTGGTGGTTGTTGTGGTTGTGGTAATGGTGTAATGCTTTGTGGTGGTGGCGGTTGTGGTGCTGGTGGTGGTGGTGTGGCGGTTGTGTAGTGGCTGTGGTGGTTTGTGGTGGTGTTGTTTGTGGTGGGTTCTGGTTGTGGTGGTGGCGGTCATGTAGTGGCTGTGGTGTGGTGCTTTGTGGTCGTGGTGGTAGTTGCGGTGGTGGTGGTGGTGGTGGTGGGTGGAGTTGGTGCTGGTGGAAGTGGTGGGTGTCGGTGGTGGTTGTGTTGTGGTTGCTTGTAATGATGGCGGTGGTGGTGGTAGGTTGTTCGGGTGGTGAGGTGGTCATTGTAGCGTGGTGGTCATGGTGGTGTTGGTGCGGTTGTTTACGGTGGTGGAGGTGGTGGCGGTGGTGGTGGTTGTGTGGTGGTTTGTGGTGGTGGTTGGTTGTGGTGTGGTGGTTTGGTGTTGGTGGTGGTGGGTTGTGTTGCTGGTGGTGGTGGCGGTGGTTGTGGCGGTCATGGTGGTGGTGGTGGTGTGGTAGATGGTGGTGGTGGTGGTGGTAGTGGTGGTGGTTGTTGTGGTGGTGGTGGGCTGTTGTGGTTGTTGTGGTGGTGGTGGTGGTTGCGTGGTGGTGGTGGTAGTGTGGTGGTTTGTGGTGGTGGTGGTGGTGGGTTGAGTTGGTTGTGGTGGTGGCGGTGGTGCTGGTGGTGGTGGCGTGGTGGTTTGTTGTGATGGTGGTGGCGGTGGGCTGTGGTGGTGGTGGTGGTGCTTCTGCTGGTGCTGGTGCTGGTGCTGGTGGTGGGTGGTGGGTGGTGGTTGTTTTGGTGGTGGTGGTTGCGGTGGTGGTGGTGTGGTTGCTTGGGGTGGTGGTGATGGTGGGTTTTGGTGGTGGTGGTGGTGGCGGTGGTGATGGTGGTGGTGGTGTGGTTGTTTGTGGTGGTGGTTGCGGTGGGTTGTGGTGGTTTGTGGTGGTGGTGGCTTTTGGTGGTGGTGGTGATGGTGTAGTGGTTTGTGGTGATGGTGGTGGTTTTGGCGGTGGTGTGTTGGGGTGGTTGTGGTGGTGGTGGTGGTTGTGGTGGTGGTGTTGTGGTGGTTTGTTGTGGTGGTGCTGGTGGTGGTGGTGTGGCCTCCAGGTCTCCCCGCCACCGTGTTTTGGCTGCGGGTCAAAGACCTAATGCGGATGCCCTTTGAGGTCTCGTCAGAAGGGGTCTCGGGGGCGTATGTGAAGCCTCCTGGATCTTCCTAAGGCCCTCTCGGTGGCTTTTGGGGGGCGAGGGCTCGATATAGCGCTTTGCGTTTCCCCTCTGCGGCCTCGTGGCCATCTGGTCATCGTTGCTGCGTCCCCGCCGTCGGCGCTGCTGGCCACTGGCCGGTGGCGGCCAGGGGAGGGGTTGGCCGGTGCCGGCCAGGGGGGGGGGTTGGACCCCCCCCTCCCCCCCCTTCCCTCCCTGGGCCCTCTCTGGTCATCGTTGCTGCGTCCCCGCCGTCGGCGCTGCTGGCCGCCGCCAGCGCCGGCGCCTGCGCCGGCGCCGGGGGTGGGTGGGGGTAGGGGGAGGGGGAGTCCCCCTGGTTCTGATCGACGGCGCCGAGTGTTGGGAGGGGGGGCCCCCCTGGGTATGAAACGCGCCGCCGAGTTTTCCCAAGGCGAGCGCCCGTGAAACGCGCTCTCTCGCAGACCAAGAGGCCCCGAAGACAGCCTAATGGGTCTCCAGGAGGCTCTCCAGGAGAATCCGAGCAGGCCAACGCCGTTGATTTTCCCCTGGCTGTTGGACGGAGTTCGAGGTTCTGACCAGTGTGGGGGTTCGACCGCCCGAGGAAGCCCAGGGGACCTCTGTGGGCCGTCATGTTGCTTTCTTGGAGCGTTCCGTCTTGGGGCCCTCGCCGTGGGAGCCCTTCTGGGCGATCTTTGGGTCCTGTCGGGCCAACATTGGGGGCATCCTTTTGGTGCCTCTCGATGTCTTGGAGCCATCTTGGAGGCCTCCTGACAGCCTACTGGGCCGTCGTGGGTGGTCCGAAGCCCGAACAGGTCAGGACCTCAACATCCTTCAATAACCTCTGGGCAATGGATGGTGTTGTCCCCTCGGGCTCTCTGGGGCTGTCTAGCCGCCCTCCTTTAGCAGTTTTGAGGTTCTCTTGGGCTATCTTGAGCCGTCTTGAGGCTTTCTTGAGAGGCTCTTGAGCTGTCTTGTGCCATTGTGAGCCGTTTTTGTTGTCGTCCTGGCTGTCTTGGAAGCTGTCTTGGAGGCCATCTTTGCCGTCTGGAGGCAGAAAAGACCGCCAGACAGCTCGCGGCGAGGTGTGGGGTGCCCTCACACTTGACGAAGTCTCCGACCAGACAACACACCGCATTACATCACGCCCACTCCGTGACGTGCAGGCACGGAAGCGGATATCCGTATCCTCTTTTGTTTTCGCATTCTCTCCCTCACCATCCTCCTCCTGATCCTGATCATATACGTCGTGCGCCTTTTCCGTCCGTCCTCCTCCTCCCCCTCCTCCGTTTCCCCTTTCCCCTCATTGTTTCACGCTTCTTAGCCGCCGAAATTGCCCGGCACTCTCCCTTCAGTTTTGCCCCGGAGGCCGAAGGTCGGGTCGCATCCTCCGTCGTGATGTCTGGCGACCCGAGTTTCTCAGGCATGCTGTTAGGCGAGCTGCCACTCCCACCCGTGTCGTCACCCCCACTGATTCTCCTTCTCCCCCCTCCTTTTTCGTCCCTTGGGAGGGAGCGGGAGGCGAACATGCTGGCAGAGTCCGCCGCCGCCTGGAAGCGGGCGGGGGAGTCCAAGGACGGCCAGCGGGTAGCGGGGGTGGGGGTCCAGGAGTTTGGATCCCCCGCTGGGGAGGGGGGGGGCAGATGAGGGATGGGGGGTGAGGACCAAGACTTGCAATCTACCCGGGCAACCTGCTGGAAGTATCAAGACTGCGGTTTCTCGCCGTTCTCGGCCTCCAGAGGCCCTCACAGGGCCACATGTCCGTCAACAAGCCGCTCAGAGTGAAGAGGCCGGCCCCTGGGAAAGGGTCGGGTCTTCTCGGGGGCCCCGTGTTGACAATCGCGAGGCATCCAGATCCTTGCGAAGGGAGATGGTGTTGAAGAGATTGAGGTTGTGGAGGTTCTCGGCTCCCTCCCATGGGCCTCCCAGAGGCCCCCTGGTCTCTTCGAGGCCCTTCACGGCACGAGTCCAGAAGGCCTCTCATTTCTGTGCTAGAGTCAAAATGGAGTCTCCAGGTCGCACCGGTGGAAGCAAGAGCCTGGCTTTCTCTGCGTCCCGACGTCGCCGAGCATCGTGGATACGGCGCCGATGCTTTCGCAGCGAGGCATCGGGGATGCATCGCCGAGCGTCGCCGATGCATGCGGTGCGATACATGGAGGCCAGTTCGCTCTGGCCCCATGCAGGAGGCCTCCCGCGAGTGCTTTGGTTTAGGCCTCCTGGATGGGTTCGGAGTGGGTGGGGTCGGAGGATTGCGCCGCATCGCCGATGCATCGCCGATGCGGCGGCTCGATGTTCAGCCCGATTTGCCTCACGTCGACGTCGCCGATGTATCGAAGACGTCGACGATGCATCGCTGCTGGTGCATCGCCGATGCATCGCCGATTTATCGATGATGCGGTGCGATTCTCCGACCCCATCTACTCCGACCCCATCCAGGAGGCCTCTAGTTGGGGCGGGTCACCACAGAATTTCTCTGGAGGTTAGTAGGTGTTTGGGCCTGCTTCCGGGGAGGGTCTTCTGGACGTTGCCACATAGGCTACTTTGGTTCAGGGGGTGTCTCAGGAGGGGAAAAACACACAGACACAATTAATCGTTGATTCCCCAGAGAAGATGGGAAAATATGGGAAGTGGGGGGGGAGACACAAATCTAGAACATATGGGGAAATATGGGGAATCCTGTTATTTGTGTGTATTTATTTGTGTGTCCCAGGGCCCCTTCAGGGGTGTCAGGTTGGGGTTGCTCCCAAGACCCTGGTCGGGGACCCGTTCGTGGCCGAGGCACCCTCACCGATGAAAGAAACCATGCAACTCGATGGGCGGCGGGTTTAGGTTCGGAGTTCGTCGAGCACTTGGCGAAGCCTAAACCCTACCCTTAGTCGGGCCTGTCCCTCTACAGGAGGAATATTCAAACATAGTAAAACATAGTCTGGGGACGATTTGTTGACTATTTTTACGCATTTTGGGGTTATTGTTCGACTATGTTTAATTTTTCCTCCAAAATCGGGCTGTAGTGGGACATGCCCGATCTGACCCGCCCCCCACCTCACATCGACTCAGGAGAATCGATGGGTGGTGAGGGCACGCAGGGTTCGGAAGTCGCCACCTGTGGATGCCTCGTCGGTCCCCGTATGCAGCGTGCCTCGTGGCAGGACGAGGAGCCGCATCGGGCGAGGGCAGACGAGGCAGCGCGGAGCGCAGCTCGTGCGAGAGGTTGGAGCGGGGAGGTGAAGTCCCCGGTGCAGTCGGACCGAGGTATAAGATCGAGGTGGGATCGGGGAGAGTGCCGTAGTGTTCTTCGTGTTTTCTGGATGTGATTGGACATCCATCCTGGGGAGGGTACCCCTGGATGTTCTGTTTGCTCAGGCCGAAGGAGGGTCTTCTGTTCTTGAGGGATGTTCTTCTGGCCTGGGTCCGACTGCAGTCACGACGTCCCTGACTATGAGTGGTGAACTCCCTCCCTCCTCCTCTCGCCTCGCTCTTTCCCTTTCTCCTCCCTCGCTCCTCGTCCGTCGTCTCCCTCCGCCACTCCTTAGCCGTTTCGGGTGCCCGCGCGCCCTGGCGGCCGCACGGGGTGTTCGTGCTGCATCTGTGTCCCTCATCCTTGCCCAGTGGTTGCGGCACGCCTCAGAAGGGTCACGTGCCAGCTGTTCCAATCAGAGGCAGCGTTAGGCTTAGGGAGGGATGCGTCGTCAGTCCAGGCCCAGGAACGTGCGTTCGCTATCGGGGGGCGTATCGCCGACCTGTCGGCGATAAACCGGCCCCGCCCCATTTCGGCGCACCCCTCACACGGTTCGTGGCCCCATAGGGAGCTCCACCGAAGGCTCCAGTGGCAGCGTTCGCATGCGGCCCCGCCCCATTTCGGCACACCCCTCACGAGGATCGTGGCCCCATAGGGAGCTCCACGGAAGGCCCCAGTGGCAGCGTTCGCATGCGGGCCCCGCCTCATTTTGGCGCACCCCTCACACGGTTCGTGGCCCCATAGGGAGCTCCACCGAAGGCTCCAGTGGCAGTGTTCGCATGGCGGCCCCGCCCCATTTCGGCACACCCCTCACGAGGATCGTGGCCCCATAGGGAGCTCCACCGAAGGCCCCAGTGGCTCCGTAGCCATTTTGGCTCAAGACCCAATGCTTGGGGGCTGCTAGCCTCCTGGCACAAACAGGATAGCTCTGTTCCCCGAGCTCGCGATCCACCCTTTTGTGGTGCCAGGTCCGCCCCTGGCAACCACCTGCCTCCCTCGGCCCGAGGGTGCGCAGTCGTTCTCCTCGGCCTAGTTGCCTGGGCCTTCCTGCTCTCATGGCGAAGTACTGGCAGTGCGTGCGCTGTGGTGGCTTTACCCCGCAGCACCTCTCCCTCTGCATCAGGGCGGGCTGCAAGGGCAAGCGCTCCGACCGCAACGTGCCTGCGACGAACGACACCGAAGCCAAGCCACGTGGCAAGTGGGCAGTCGGAGGTGGAGGAGAAGGAGCCCCTTGGCACAAAGGCCCCAAGGGTGGCGACAAGGGGCGTGGAGGCAAAGGGCTCGGACCTAACGGTGGAGGGACCAATGCCAGCACCACGGTCACCCTTGGCCCCGACAAGACCGCCGCCTACGCTGCAATGGCTCTGGAGTCGTACGAGCTCGTCAAGGATGTTCTCTCCCGCAGCAGTCGCGACAAGGTCGAGCTGGCACGTCGAAAGGCAGCCGCTGGAGTCTTGGGCACTGAGGCGAGGAAGCTCCCCTTGGCAGTCGACCAGGCCTCCCTCGCCGTCGCCGATGCTGCGGCCAAGCGAGAGCGGCTCTTGGAGAGCTCACGCAAGGCATTGGAGGCGCTCGCGGACGCGGAGAAGGCCCTCGCGGACCGCAAGGCGGAGCTCGAGGAGGCGAAGAAGCAGACAGCCAAGCTCTACTCGGCCACCATTGTGGAGGACACCATCCACACGCTCAAGGAGAAGGTCGTCACCATCGACACAGAGGGCAAGTCTGGGGTGGACGTTGTGGACAGCCTCGCCAAGCTCTTGTGCGAGATGGCTACTTCGGCTGCAGCCACTGGGCATCCTCTTGGGCCCGAACAGCAGCGGGGCGGCCCTGCCGAAAGCGGGGCTGGAGCTGCAGGTGCTGGTGCGGCTGGCGAGGCCGAGCAAGACGACACCCCTATGGCACAGCCAGAACGGGACGTGTTCGACAAGTTCATGGGCTGCGACGACCCTGGGGGGCTCCTCGGCAGCGCGACGGACGACAACGAGGGGAAGCGGCTCCAGGAAGCGCTCGACACCCTCAGAGCGGCCAAGCGGTCACGCACCGCAGGAGGGTAGCAGCGCGGCGATCGGCGGCAGTCGGTCGTCGAACCTGCCCCCGGGGTGGACGAGCAAGGCAGGTGGTGGGTCGGGCTCACGGTCAACTGCAACGCCTGGTCTCGGTTTGCCAACCTGCTAGGCACCACCACGGTCAGGCACTGCGATTTCGTGGCCGTCCAGGCGACGCACCTGGATTCGCGGCGCACACATGATGCACAAGGTCAACCCCGCAGGCTTGGATGGGTCTCGGAGGCTGCGCCAGCGATCAATGCTGGGCCAGGCTCCCAGGGCACTGGAGGCCTCGTGCAAATGCCCCCCCCCAGCATCTTGGGCTAGGGCCTTTCGGCCTGCTCGGCGGGCCAGCTGTGCTCGTACCTGGGCGAGCTATCATGTCCCACTTCAACGGCGTCTGCAGAGGCGGCATTGCGTGGGTCAATGTCTACTTGGAGGTCAATGTCGGCCTCACTAAGAGCAACGCAGATACGCTGTACGCGGTGCTCAGGGCGCTCCAGGCTGTCAACAGGCCCTTCGTCGTCGGAGGGGGTTTCAACATGGGGCCGTCGGTCTTGGCAGAGTCGGGCTGGCTGCAAGCCGCGCAGGCGGTGGTGGCAGCTCCAACTGAGGCCACATGCAGGCCAGCAGGCAGGATCATCGACTACTTCGTGGTCTCCGTGTGCTTCCGAGGGGCCAAGGCCAGCGTCGCGCGCGGGCTCGACCTCAGCCCGCACTACCCTGTCGTGCTCGAACTACTCGGGCCCAGCAGGCACCAGGACATCGCGGTCATGCGCACTGCGAAGCAGCTGCCGCTGGCCAAGCCGCTAGCGTGCTGCTCGCGGGATCGCGCACCTGCCTGGGGGGAGGTGCGGGAGAGGGTCGCCAACACCAGCGACGTGGATTGCATGTGGCGCATCTTCATCGGCCAGGCGGAGACCAACATGATCGACGCATGCGGGCTCCCCCATGAGCACGACAGGTACGCTGGACGAGGGCAGCGACCCTGGCTTGTGAGCACTTCAGCTACGGCACCGTCGCCACCGAGACTGCCAAGGGTCAAGCGAGCATCGACGTGGTGCAGAGCGATTGCCATCAGCCTCAGGGGCGCTGCGCAGATCGAGCGCCCGCTCACAAGGCTGGGCGCGCTCCGCGCCCTGCGCAAGTTGGTCAGCAGGTCCCCGTCCGAGCTCAGCGAGTTGCAGAGCGCTATTCACGTGCTAGCCACTGGAGCCAGCAGCTACTCTCTCCTGTAGCTGGACGTTCTCAGTGCGGCATGTTTCAGCTGGTCTGAGAAGATGGTCAAGACTGACA